AAATGGGCTTAAAATAATTACTGACACTACAGACCAACAGGTATCAGTTCTGCATGCCACCTTCCATACTACAGTGACATGTCATAAACTGACTACCTCTCTTCCGTTCCACCTAGTTTTAGCATCTGCGAATAATGCGTAATGTGAAAGCCACTGTAGTGAGATTCACAAAATATTTCAAACCCACTTGTTGAGGATATGCAATCCTCAAATAAAGCTTTTGCGAAAGGCAATCAATGTCAATGATTTTCGTTACAGCACATTATTTTGTGTGAAATTGGCTTATGTATTTTTAACAAATTTTAGTATTATTTTTGTTTATTGACAAGTATTCAGTCCATAATTTCTAATCACCGTAATTGATGTGTAGTCGATTAACTAAAATACATTTCCGATTGATACACTGAGGTCACCGATGTGCGTCACAACCATAAGGTAGTTGTAATGGTAAGTATAAGTAATTAGATTGACCATTTATAAGGTTTTGTTGAATCCTTAACTTCCTTACTTACGCCTATTACTCCTCATGGAGGAGCATAGGCCGCTCACCAGCATTCTCCATCCAACTCTGTTCTGGGAAATCCTTTACACTTGTTTCCAGTTTCTATTCATTCTTCTGATGTCTGCTTCCGATTCCCTGCTCAATGTGTTCCTTGGTCTTCCTCTTTTCCTGTTCCCTTCAGGATTCCAAGTTAGCGCTCGCCTTGTGATGCAATTCGGTGATTTTCGCAATGTATGTCCTATCGACTCGAGACTTCTTTTCCCAATTTCCTCCTCATCTGGAGGTTGGCTTTTTGCCTGTTATAGTAGGCTGTTGCTAATGGTATCCGGTCAATGGACATTGAGTATCTTGCTTAGACAATTGTGTATAAATACTTGTACCGTTTTGATGGTGGTTGTAGTAGTATTCCATGTTTCAGTTCCATACAGTAGAACTGTCTTGGCGTTCGTATTAAAGATTCTGACTGTGATATTGGTTGACAGTTTTGAATTTCATATGTTCTTCAACTGTAGGAATTCCGTTCTTTGAACCCTTAAGCTATTTCATTATTGCCTAAATAAACCGTTAATATATATCATGAAATATAAGACCTATAATGTAGTGGTTTTATGAACACGTTAATAACAGATTTTCCGACTTATTACTCCTCACCAACTAATAATTTGCTTTCCAACGATTTCTTTTGTTACTTGTAGCTAACACCCTACATGTTGACTTATATGAAAGTACCTAATGTGTGAGTGTTTTTGTTTTGGAAAACTAATCTTCATTCATGCTAGGTTTGAAGTTATTACGAGTTCACTTGTTATGCGAACGGAACAAAGACTTGTGACCGTTGAAGAATAAGTTAGCTATTGATGCGTCCCAGCCCCGCTAACCAGAGGAAGAAGTTCAAGCTTGAAACTGGGAAGTATATTCTGTAAGCCAGAAGCACGAGTGAATAATAACAGACACAAATCAAACGTATGTATATACAGCGTAAAACTGTCCTTGGGAAGCGTTGCAAAAATATCCTACTAAAAATACACAGCGGACCAATAGCGTTAAAGATTCTCCCTAGTGGGAAATACGACATGAAGGTGAAAAGAGCGCTTTCGGCGCAAAAACAAGGAAATTTAAATTTCCAAAATAAAATTACAAAATTAATGCATTTGCCAAGTGAATTCTGGGGATGTAACATCCCCAACAATTCACATACAACTTGTTGTGATAGATTTCGGTTTGTGAGAAACAACAAGAGTAGAATTGTATCGACCATAACATAATAAAATGTTGGTTATCCGTTATTAATCTAGTGTGTGACTCAGCATTATTGTTAATCGACCGTCTTTGATGTTTATAATTCGAGAAATTTTGAGCTTAGATTGTGCATTTGTGAATACTTATCAATATAGTGGACCTCTAAACTCACAGAAGTCATTGCACTTTAGTCTTTTTACTAATTATTTGTAATTTGGATATCTGTTGAATCCTTACTTCATATTTATATTTTACTTATTTGTAAATTTATTACACTGGATTTCTCGGAAAGCATTGTTTATAGTGCATAAATTGTTATCTGAAGCAATGTAAAACCAAAAGCAATATTCGTTTTTTCTTCTTTACTTCTTCATAGACCGTTTCACTTTTGGAACAACGTCTCACTCTTCTGGAGAATAAATGAAAGAATAGAGTTTAAAGTTGTGAACATTGTTCTTCTGCAACTGGGTCATATCTAATAATGTGTCAGATAATTTTATCATTAATTTTGATGGTATTGTAATAAATAATGGATTTAAATTTGCTTGAAACTGTATATGCAATTATAATTTTTCTGGAGAAACCGTCAAACTTTAATTTTTCGTATTTGGAGCTTTACACTGTACATTTTGAATTGAATGTTATTCTTACTTAATTTACGATATCTATTACATATTGTTCATACTTTTATCAATACCGATATCTATGACTATAACATAAGTTTACCTGTTCTTTCCTGTAGATACAATGAAAAATTACAGTCAAATTTTTTTTATTTCGTTAATTTTCATCGTGAGTTCTCATATGTAGAATGCTCTGGTCTGATAGCCAGGTTTTCTGCACTTCATATTTATTTTCGGTTTTTTTAAAGAATCACTACAAAGTAAGCAAATGTTAATGGATTCGAATAAATAAGTACTAACCTAAAGATTTTAGCGTCAACAATTGTATCTCACACGTTAAAGATCAATCAGTGGTTGATTCTTGCTTCTCAGCTGGTTGATGTCCAAACCATTAATTTAAAAGTTGCGGTGTGGACTAACCATGACCTAGTCACCATTTACATACGAATACATACATTTTAAAACTAAAGCCAAATAACTGTCCGCTTATTAAGGTTCTTTTTTACATGCAACCGTCGTGTTAATTGGTGATTCTGAAGTATTCCTATGTATTGTATTGTCATATATTATTAAGCATAGTTCGCTATGCAAGAAAAGTAATTCAGTTGTGGTGTGCCGAGTACGCTTTTCCTCCTTTTACTTGGGTGGTTTATGGCTTCGTTAAGTTGGACAATTTTTTCAGTTTTGTCACACAGGTGAATATATAGTTGTTAAACGACGAATATTAGTTGCTTTCTACTAAATTTGCATATCCGTGACAATTAAGTAGTGGATGTAACATTTTTCTCAATATTGCCCCCACCATTGTTTCACAGAAGCTTTCATCAAACCTGGGATAAAAAAACATTGTTCAGCTAAATACAGGTCATAGAAACATCATTCTTTCGTAACAGACTGGGAACTCACATTTTTTAGATTAATTTCGTATGCTTACCACTAACTTCAACTATGAACTATTCACTAGTTCTCATTGCATTTTTGTAGTTAAGTTTCTGTACTATTTGGAAAAGTAGTACTGTTAGGTGATAGTTTTCAAGTGGTTTTATTTATTTGGCTGTTTCAGTTTCATTCTAGGTAGTGATTAATCCATTTATAACTGGTTAAAAAGTGTTATATCCTTTTAATATACGTATAAAAATTTATGAGCTGTGAAAATAAGGTGATATCTGTTTAGGTTATGATTGTAAATATCTTAATATCTGATCACTATCTTGTCTTGCAATATTCATTTTTAATAAAGTTTATTTTGTTCCGAAGAAACATATTAATTGAAATTAGGAAAAGTATAAGGCTTTTCAAATGACTGGCGTTGGTAGAAATAACGAGAATCTTTTAGGTACGTCATTTATGAATTCAAGGAAGTTGAAATACCGTGTCATATTCGTATTGTTCTAAACCATGCGACAACAGAAAGTGACTGTTACTTTATAGCCAGAGGTTTAAGAATGTTATTAAAGAAATGCTGCTCAATACCTTCTATTTAATATCCTAGTAATTACTACTGGACGTGTTTAGAACTTTTCCTACATTAGCTATACTTCTTCCTTAGTAAGTGTGGAACCTGACAATACTAAGATACTTCTCATCCAATTTCTCGTAACCCTCCAACCTAAATTCCACTCTTTAAGGTCTTTTAACCTTTATTTGGGACTCCACATAACATTTGTTCCTTTGACTGAGATAAATGTCTTTCATTACCTTCTAGTGACTACTTGTGTAGTGTATTTCAGCAGAATATCAAGAGGGAAAGAATGGGGACGGAAGGCAATTAGTATGAAAATGCACGAACAATGAAGCCCGAGACGATGGATTGATATTTTCCAAATTAATTATTTACTGCATTGTTTTCAGATTTTAGTGAGATGATCTGTACTTTCGTGCTTAAATGCACTCGATTTTCCCCACTCATGTTCTTGCTCACCACACTTGTAGCTTTGTACGTAGAATGAGAGTTTAAATTAAATTATATGATCACGTTTTTCTGTCTACATAAATCCAACTTTCACGGGGGTGTGTCTCTTAAAGCAAACTCAGAGAATTCCGTCTATTTATTTTCAAAAACCTACTGACGTTACAGAAATACTTAAAAGAAAACGCATTACGTTTTCACAAATACATCATGCATTTAAACCACCGAAGTATTGGTCTGAGAAAGAATAATCTCTTTTTATGGCTGTTGAGTTTATGATTTGATGCTTTTTGTAAAAAAGAAGATGGGAATAACGTAAAGGTATAATAAGTTAGTAAATAACTTTAGGCGGCCAAATATATTCTACTGCTGAATAAGAAGACAAGTTTGATGAATCTAATGGTCTTACTCCTGGTTATCAAGACGTCTTATTTCCTGAAGCACATAACTTTGTTTTTTTGGTTCGTCATTATTTATAAGAGCAGTCGTAAAAGATACAAAAATAAAATCAATATTGGGTATAACGAATTATTTTTTTTTATAACATGACAAAACTTATTTTCAATAAGTGTATTTCATTCAATCAAAAGAATAACAATAGAATCAATAACAATTTCAACATACATTTCATTTTACAGAGTATTTTAAAATGAATATTACTAACCAAATATTTCATTAATACACTGAACTGTTTAAATGTAAATAAATAAACATAGAATCTTGTGTATAAACTGGAAAATGTTAATTGGATATTTTTTTTGAATAATCAGTATTAACATCAACGTCCTGAAGGGACTGTTTTGAATTTTATAATATATAAATTCTAACAATCACAACATACATCTCGAGTTTAAATCTTTTTTTTCTTCTTCAAATATCTGTAAACATTACAATCACTTAAACATTTTAAAGTAAATTATCAACTCTGAAGGAATGAAGTGTACAAGTGTCTTCAATTCAACTGAAATACCAAACTATAATAGTGTAATAAACTTCTCAAATTTATTATTATTATTATTTTTAATTGATTTGAAGATATAACTTGTCTCCATCTTTACTTATCATATTAATTTCTGATTATTTTATGATTTCATGTCTTTTTTTTTTCAATCATTAAAGTTAATAAACTATATATGTGAAAATGGATCATGTGATTTAAGTTTAGGTACTGTTAATTTATTTGTTAAATCTTCAACTAATTCTTCAATTTCTTTTTCAAACATTCTAAACATTAATATTTCAATAGATGTATTATCTGTTTTTAAATAGAATACTTTTTTTGTACTATGTTCAGTTATACCAGCTTCATCTAATAATTTTTTAGACATAATAAATCCAGGTTTACGAAAATTTTCTAATCCACATTTTTTTAATTCATTTTCAGCATTCATTTCTAAATCATTTAATCGTTCATTGATATATAATTCAAATTTACTTTGTTGTGAATCATATTCAATTAGAAATGCTTCAATAATAAAAGCTAATACAACATTTAATACAAGTAATACACATATCCAATGAATTATAATAAAAAATAATTTACTCCATCTTGTTGTAACGATTACATAACCATCAGTAAATATATGCCAATTATTACCAACTGTAATAATGAATAATAATAAGAATGAATCTAATGGACTATTAAAATTAAATGTACAATAATGCCATTTAACAAATTCACTATTCAGTAAATATTTATTATTACAAGTTGTATTTAATGTATAATTATAATTTAATGGTGGTTGATAAACAAATGCAAATAATTCCATAGCAATACATGAAAATATATAAAATAATATTAATAATATAGTTGTATAAGCAGTTAATGATGGTAGAATAATTAAAATACAATTAATCACTATACGAAATTGTTTTATTACACTAAATAATTTTAATAAACGAAATAATCTTAATAATAAAAATATTTGTATAATTTCATGTGATAAATAAATATTAATTGAATAGAATATAAATTGAATTATTTGTCCAATTAATGCACTAAATATAATAATAAAATCAAATAAATTCCAACCATCATTAAAAAATTTAACACCACCACATATTAAATAATTAATAATTAATTCAATTATAAATATTATTGTAAATATCCATTCAATTAATTCTAATAATTTTGGATTTGAATGATACATAACAACACATATTGCATTCATTATAATGAATATAATAAATATTAATTTAGTAATATTATGATTCATATAATAAATAAATAATTGAAATTTCGATGATGTATAAATAGAATAAAATTTTGAAATATATGCATTAAAATAAAAACGATTGAATTCAATCATTTCAAATTTTAATTGCATATATTCTGTTAAACGTTCAAATTCATGTTTTAATAAATAACCAGATTTATTTTTATTTAATAAATAAAAAATTATTTTTAATGAATCATTATTATAATTTGGTTTAACAATATGCATTAATTGTAAAAATATATTTTGATGAATACCTAATTGTTTATTTGAATTTATAATTGATATTAAATTGAATGCTTCATCTAATTTTTTTTTACGTTTTATAATTGTTTTTAATACAAATTCACCTAAATGTGATTTATATGAATTATATATAGATGCTGTTAATATACCCATAAATAACCAATTACATATTGTACAAATAAATAAATAAATTATTATAAAATAATGATTATATTCATATGCTGGTAATATAATATCAGGTGAATTAGCTGTTGTTGTTAAAACATAAAATTCCCATAATACATCAATAAAATCATATAGATATTTATTACCATTAGGATATATTAATTTCATATCACTTAATAATGTTAAACTAACAATTGAAATAAATATTAAACATGCACCAAATAAACCAAATACAGGTAATACATCAATTAATGTACGTCGTAAATTAAAAAATGCTGCACGTAATCTTCTATTCTCTGGAAATGTCAATAATAATATCGGTCTAAGAGCTCTTGACCATCTTATAGAATTAGAAAAATTTAATTCATGACATATTATATAAATTATAGCATCAATTGTCATTAATGATAATATAATAATTGTTGCAATGAATGAAATATTTGATTTTAATGATTTCTTTTCTGATATAACATAAATAATATACCATCTATAATAAAAATAGCATTCACATAATAAATTAATGATTAATGGAATATAATATGGTAAAGGTTTTCCATTTATCCATATATTTCCTGGATATTCTAATATGATTGATAAAAGATTAATTAGAGTTAATATATAGTATAGTATAACATATGATTTACTATAGTAATGTTCATACAACTGTACAGATAAAAGATCTCGTTTAAAATTTATTTCTAATCTTGTTTCACATGCATCACGAATTAATGTTGTAGCTAGAACAAGTTGTCTTGCTCTATGGTTTAAATTTTTATAATTTTCGTCCATTTTTTTAAAAATATCATTGAACCCTGCCAATACAGCTATCTTTTTTTGTTGTTGAGAAAAATAACTATAGAAATAAGATGAAGAGAATTTGAATTAACTAGTGATCGATAGATGATTGATTATGTGCAATAATCGATCGAACTATGATTTCAATTGTATAATCCGGAAATTCACTACTTTGTTTAAGTGAATCTTAAGTGATTGAACTATCCTTTATAGCATTCATCGACAAAATTCAGTGAATTTTATGATGTGAATATAAAAAAAATTCTGGTTGGCACTAAATCAGAGTATTTATCCAAGTTGGTAATTACCTACATACTGAATACTGATCAGATTTAAATTTAGCTGTAATAGATAATCCCCAAGCTTATTTTTCTAATTCAAACCTTAATTCAACGTCAGAAATTAAAGTTTAGTAACCATCAGTCTGAGCATCATAAGAATGAGAAAGGTGTGATTATTACAGTTGCAGCCTCAAAAACATTGTGTTTGATTCTTTAACTGAGCATACTATCAATTATAATTTCTTACAAGTAAAAATATCTGACTTATTCATTTGTTAAATATAAATCTATCATTCCGTTAGTTTGTGACTAGTTTAGAATTAATTTCATGAGCTGATCTAAGCTAGGCCACCACTGAAAACCTGGAAGCACTGGATGGTCGTTTCGTCTTAGCATGGGACTTCTCAGCAATGCGCAACCACGAACCCACGCGCGTGACTCGAACCTAGGACCTTCGGTCTCGCGCACGAACGCTTAATCTCTAGACCACTGGCCCAGCATTCAATAGGGTTGATGTCTAACTTCAACCGATCCATGAAATTGCACAATCCTTCATCCATGTGGTCTGTGTTAGTCCTGAAAATGGTGGTCTCTCAGTTAATCCTAATTTCTTTTAGAAGCGTCGACAGATGGAGCTTCAAATGTGTTGAGGTAATGAATTCCGTTCGGTAACGATTCGATGGGAAAGTCGGATATCAGTTGACAAGTAATTTGTTCTGAGCTTGTGAACATTTTAAAGTGTCCTCATAAATTCTCTGTTTTGGAAGACGAGAAAAACGAGAGCGTATCAGACGCAAATTTATCACTAAGTAATCTAAAAACTATGATTACGTCGCCTCTGGTTCTTTGATATGGCAATGAGAATAGGTTTAGTTTCGTCAGTCGAGCATCACACTGGAGCTATTCGACTCCTGGAATCAGCCTAGTTGCGGTTCCTTGAGTCTTTTCATCAGCTCGCTGTCTCACTTTAGGCAGCGACTAGCCGCTTATATGTGTTACCCAAGTTTAGGACGAACGATTACTGTATACAAAATCAAAAACCTTTTAGCATGACATGGCTAAGGGATCTGTATACTGACCATAAGGTTCTAAAACCTTTGGCCTCCATCACACGGCGGTGTGCAGTAGTTTTGAAGTCTTGGCTAACCATGACTCAGGTCGCTGCGTGTTTGGACAACAGGTAGCTTGATGTCATTTGCCGTGTACGTATCAGTACCTTGGTAACTAATATGTACCACAATGCATTTGGGAGCATTTATCAGCAACTGCAAAATTTTATACATGTCAGAAAACTTCTCTAGCTCATTTTGAAGCTCTAAACTATCACCCATACGCAGTATCGCTCTCCGTATCTTGACATCGTCAATACACAGCAAGACCGATGATGATAGGAGACGAGGAAGGTTATTCACATACATGAGGAACAACATTGGCCCGAAAACTGTACCCTGAGGCACTCCGCTAAGCGCAGTTTCCCAGCTAGACAACTTTGAGTTCACCCATATGCTTTGTTGGAGCCCAACTAGAAAGTCTTGTATTCACATTATTAACTTGCTTTCAACCACGATATTACTTAACATATATAGTAGCCAGTTACGGGGAATTTTGTCGAGAGCTTTCCTGAAGTCAATGTAGGCTGCGTCTACAAGTAACTTTTGATCTTTAGGAGCGCACCAACTTTCACAAGGTACTAATATGCTAGTAAGACAGGAGTGACCCCTTCTAAAGCGATTCTGCTTTTCAGAAATCATCCAGTTCTCGTCGGGATACTTCAAGAATGCCTTCCGAATAATCTTTTATAAAATTTTAACAATCATGCTAGTTAGACTTACCGGTCGATAGTTCTCAGCTTTATGTTTAGTACCTATTTTGAAGACAGGACTTATTACGGCGTTCTTCTAGTCGTTCGGTAATCGACCCTGGGATGCAGATAGTTCGAAACACATGCTTAAGGGGTTCTCAACGAAATTTTCTAGTTCTTTTAGTAACCTAGGATGCATTTCATCAGGTCCCGTGGATTCGCTTATATCAAGCTTATTTAGCAGACCAAGGTCATCGAGTTCATTTATGTTCACAGTATATATGTGTGTGGGGTGCTTGTATGAAATGAAGTGAAGGTGTCTCTACGGCATATGCATTGCTATAATAGTTTGAGAGTACCTGAGCTTCACCATAGTCGTCTCCCACTAGTGATGCCTCCCCATAAAGCTGAGATGTCACCTCTTCTCTTAGTCCTTGATTTATATATGACTATAGGAGTTTGGGATATTCTGTTCACTCATTAACTAACTTTTTTTCATGCAACCTTCTAGACTTGCGGAGGGTCGAGGTACAAATATTTTAAGCTCCCCGATATTGAAACTTTTTCTCGTCAGCACTCAGTGACCTAAATATCTCGTACATTGTTCTCTTACGCCGAGTGCTGAGAACCTCTTTATTGAACTATAGTGGGGAGTTTCTAGACTCCTTGGTGTAGTCCATGGATGTGAGGTGCAGCAACTTTTAAGTACAGATTTCCAAATACATTCCAAGCCGTTCCGATGGGAAAGTTTGGCTCTATTGACCGATCTACTGAGGAGGCTGAGCGTATAACTTCTTGTATACTTGCTATCCAGACGTTTGGACTAACACATCTTTGTTGCAAACAAAGATGCGATAAATAACTTTAAGTGACCTATTTCTGTCTACTACATGACCGCTGTCGATCAAATGTGATAGAACCGAGCTGCGTAATGTCTTGATAGTATCTTTTCCTACCCACGAAGGGATATGTTCATTAACTCTTTGCCTCAGTTATCTCGTAGTGCGCCCAACACAGCTTTCTTAACAGAAGCAGATGCAGTTGTAGATGCACATAGATGTGGCATATACAAGTAACTTATCCTTCAGTTGAGAAATCACCATAGGTAGGATCAAGTATGATAGACAGAGGTTGGCTGCATTAAACGTTCTCTTCACTGCTCTAGTTAGTCTATCCCTTACCATATCATCAGTTACATCTCCGTTGAATTGCAACTTCAGGAAGAGGGGTTTCTTACTAGCTATTGATGTTTCTATTTTCTTGTTTGTTACGTGCAAGTGCTTCCTCAGGAAACGTTGATGATAACCCATCTCAATCAACATATTATGTATGAGCTCTGGTTCCTTGTTTGTTGTATCAATTCAGCATATCTTCCTAGCCCTATTTGCAAGACATTTGAGTAAGTTTCTCTTATAATGAAGGGGTACAAAGCTCAAGAAATATGTGTACTGGGTTGCTGAAGAACTTTTCCTACACACACTTCTACTGTTAAAACCATCACATTACCAATCAGTACTTTTCACTTATTATGTCTATTTATGTAATCTACTCAATTGTTATCATTGACTCATAAACTGCCTTGATTGGTTTGATAATTTCGTATGTGCATAAAATATTACTGTATGCTAAAGTAAAGCCTGATGAGGATCAAATCGAAAACAATATTGTTCGCTTAAATATGTTGTTCTAAATCACAATATGGAAATTTTTCAAATGATTTATCATACCACGTTTGGACTAGTTGTCCTACCCAACGTTCTGGCTACCTATTTTCCAACTCTGCGAATTTACTAATGAAGTTTCCTTTTGTAAACGTTTTTGAATTCCGTGGTCAATGGTAACTGTATGAACCCACGTGTCACTAAAAACGGTTTACAAATATGTGACGAACTGAATACTAGAAAACTCGTAACACTGAAGTTCTCAGTATATTTTTCTCCTTATCTGTCTGTTGTATCTTGCTTTCGGGGTCCAGTATTGGCCCACGATGTTTACGGTTCTAGAGACAAAACAATTGAGCTATTCTAATACGGTCGGTTCTTTTTAAAATTGACAACGGCAGTTTAAACACAATACATCAAAACCCCGATAGATAACACAGGAAGAAGTCGGATTGCAGGGAACTTGATATTCGAGGTAGGACAAGTAATGCGAAAGTAATTGATACAACTGTTGTTATTATAGTATCAAAATATGACCTTCAAGCCTACAGAAATCTAAGTCACTAAAATGTGACAAATAATCAGAGAATAAAGGTCATGTGGGAAATTAAATCAGAAGAGAATACGCGGGGAGTTATCGTTCCTGAAGAGATTTTAGCAATTCTAATTAAATTCGATTATTCTTGTGATCACCTTAGCACTATCCTTAAAAAATAGAAGAGGTAAATATGTTGAAATTCAAACATCCCATACATAATCGTTGGAGAAAGTAGTTGTTAACACATGATGCAATTTCACCGAAACTAGTAGAAGCCTTACATAATTTAAGTTGGGTGACAGATGATGACTGCTAAAAATATTCATAACATACTTTTCTGAATTTTTACAATTAGAACGCACGGTAAACAGAAATTTGTTTGATGAGATTATATTTTTTTAGACGACCTTCAAGTGATGCTACGGTGACCTTGGTAACATTCACCTATTTACTAGGGTTAAAAGAGGTTTATGTATTGATGTGAGGAATTAAGATTAAAACAGAGTTGACATGAAGTTTAGGATTCGGAGTTAGAGTTTTCATCACGAACTGACATCATTTATAATGCTAAAATCTCATATATCCATATAAATGAATATAAATTTCATTATGTCATCTTTTTAAAACCGTTTTGATATAATGATTGATTTTAATCATTTCACTAGTCTAATGAGATAGAGATAACGGTTATTAAAAATGTTGATATAGTTAAGCTTTTTATAGTATTTAATTGATGTAAAAAATAGCCTAATTTACTATTTGTACAAAATGCATTTAAGGTAAAAGAAAATAACCGAGTTTTAATATGTAATGACCGATTGATCATTTCTTTCAAAAGACTTAATCTTATAAATGGATGACAGTCGGATTACTTCGTTATTACTCAGCAGGATGACAAGCAAAAATTACTAAGTTAAACTGATAGCAAATGTTTTATGAACAAATAAATTTACACATTTTTTCGTGAAGGCATAAAGGAATTTAAAGTCAGTGATCTTAACCAGAGATATATTAATTAATGAAGTAAATGTAAAGTTAAAAATTATCAAATCAAATGACAAGGGCTCTTTTTAAAGAAGTCATAATAGAACTTGCAAAATATGGAGTTTATGCTTAAATGATTTCACTCCCATGATTGTACGTACAAAAAAAAATGAAAAAAAGATTAGAATTTAAGCAGTTAAACAGTGTTATATGAATTTAAGTGAAATATAACATTTGCAAAAGTAAATTCTGAAGAATAAAAAGAAACAGAGTGATTTCCACTAGAAGAAACAAAATCATTGATTAATCGAAGCATAATTCAAATGGATAAGACATAGAAATTAGGATGAAGATGATGATATTAACTCAATAGACTTTAGTTGTGTTCGATACAGTTTTACAAGTTCTTGTTTAGTGATAAATGTATAACGAAATGACTGTGATTAAGAAAAAAATTAAATAAATCTTAGTAAAAGGTTAATTAATAATTATATTATAAAGATGTAGTAATGTATACTATTAAAAAAAGATCAAGTAGTTTCCTATAAAAACTTGAGTCAAATAAGAACAATGATGAGAGCAAAACAACATTAATTCATTTCATTTTGTTAGATTCTCATTAACTCCTGACAACCCGTTAGTCGAATTTGAACAAAGTTTAGCATACTTATAGAAGTCAAGTTGGTTCAAAGTTAGTAGAGGATATATCAGCATAATGTATCAAAAAATTGAATTTGCAAAGATTGAGTAGAATGTTGTAAGCATGTATATATAATCCAATAGGAGGTTCTATAACATTGATCACAGTAATGGAAAAAGAAAATATGAGGCGTACAGAAACCTTATTTCCCGTATTCGTATTGAGACAGTTGATTCTCGGATGTATTATGAATATCAAATTCCAATACAACAATGAATACCATAGACAGCTGGATGATGTAGCCATAGGGTTACCGTTCCTAATATCGTTCCTTAGATTACAATCCCTAAATATGCCATCGAGAAAATTATAACCTGAAGGTTAAGAAAGACGGTGCACAAGACATTTACTGCAGCCAAACTGAGCGCAGTTTTCTACAAACTCCCGATACTAAGAACCTTCAATAAAAACAGACTGTCTGAATTCGCCACATCCATGTGTATCTACTAACTCAACTGTTTCTATGGGGCCAATTATATAGGGTGTACAATTCAACAAGTCCATCATCGCACAGCAGAACACCATCCATCTTGGTTGAGCAAACGAAAAATAAGAGTGGTTACGAGTTCTATTCTCACTCACTTGGTGGATACAAGACATCAAGTTGATTTGAATTAAGCTTTTAAGGTTATCTACAGCATTCCATCAAAGTTACCATATGGTTTATGAGTTTGTCTGTCGTATATTGCTTAAACTATCGAAATTCATGTCCAGAAAACCTAATCTTTGCATACAAAAGATGTTTGTACAACCACTTTTGCTACCTAGGTATTGGAGTGAGTTTTTAACTGAACTTTGATTAGACCCTTTCCTTCAAAAATATTCGACTACTCTTCTAATTTTTTGAAATGAGATTATGAACCGACGAATGTTAGAACACCATTTAAAACCTGGAAGTGGTAGACGGCCATTTCGTCCTAGTATGGATTTCTTTGGCAGTACACATCCACGAAACGGCCGTCTAGTGCTTCCGGGTTTTTAATGGTGGCATAACCTTCGTCTATTCATAATCTCAATCAAACACTTAATAATCTCTACACCCTCATACTGATAATTTTCTAATTATTACGTAACACAACTACTCAATGAGTAAATCAAACATATGTATATTAGTGTATAGCCATGATGAAAAAATTAATGAAGAGAAATTTCTTCACTTTTCAAAATGAGGATTTCCACTATAATCAAAACTAAGTGATAACCGAATGACATAATGGAACACAAGTGACAGACAATTGAAAATGACATTAAATCAGCTTTGCCATCTAAAAATTAGATTAAGAATGAGAGAAAACTACTTCAAATCATAATGTTTTTCCAGTCGATTCGTAAAAACTCAGCGCACAGAGGCTACTGCTCTTAATAAAATGATCGATTATTTAGATATTATATATTGAAAAAAAACTATCAGTCTCAAATGTAACGTATGCAAGAATTCCCACAAAATTTTGTCAAAGTTTATTTCAAACAAGCACTTATACGAAGCTCCTTTGGAACACTCTACAAAGTTCATTTAGAACCTAGGTAGTGCGTGTCAAAAGTTAACTTGAGGAGAAATTTCAAAACATACAATTTAGATGTCAAAGGTGATTCAAAATCATTGTCAATCGTCCTTAGTTTGTGTTCCACTATGCCATACGGTTATCGCTTAGTTTTGATCTTATGATATTTTCCTGTTACTCTTATCAATATTATAGAACCTTCTATGGGGTTATATGTAAGATCTGTTTTGCAAGTTTTGTATAAAAAAATTTCTCCACTTACACACTGATGTAACTTATACTTCTTGATTCTTTCAGATGTACATTTCATCAACCTTTCGATTCCATTTGAGATGGTACCATTTGTATTTTATTGTAGTTTTTTTCCTTACGTCTTCACTGAATTTCTATGTTTTTCTTGAACTACATCTATGTTATTTTAGTTTATACTTGGTCATGGCCATTGTCATATTGATTCGCTCACATTTCTGATTGTGTTGCTTCAATTGACTGAAATTGTTCGTTTTGGATTATGAATTGAAGCACTCTTGCAGCAATGAAAACATTCCGTGTTATGAAGAAATTAAGTATTATCTTTGAAACAATTTATACGTGATCTATCCAGGAAGGAGAGCAAAACATTCCAGCGTTGATAGGACCATTTGTTTGTTATACTAAGTTATTATCGTTTGTCAGTTTATCTATTTCATGTAATTTAGATTTGACTACTGATTAAACGGTTATTGGTTGAATAACTACGTGGTAATATTTGTTTAGGTAATAACGTACATCTAAATTTATAATAAAATTTAGAAAAGTCATTCACTCGATTACTTTGTCTTAGTTTCGACTGGGCGATAGCGTACAACTAAACTAACCTTAATAGTTATACCCTAATCCGAACTGATTTAGTTTGGAGGTTACATTATATATGCATACTTACAACATTCTGCTCAATCTTTGCAAATTCAATTTTTTGATACATTATGCTGATATATCCTCTACTAACTTTGAACCAACTTGACTTCTATAAGTATGCTAAACTTTGTTCAAATTCGACTAACGAGTTGTCAAGGAGTTAATGAGAATCTAACAAAATAAAATGAAATAATGTTGTTCTGCTCTAATAGTTGTTCTATCTCGATTCAAGAACAAAATTCATGGACGGATTTATGTGGGATAAAACTTAAACGAGATAGTTCAGACAGAATTTACTAACTTCGCATTCTGCAAAATAAATCTTACTCATAGTTATGTTTCCAGTTGGGTAGTACGATCAGAGTTCGCATCATTATCTTTTCGCAAATTCAGTTCAAAATTTGGAAACGTTGTATTTATCCAACTTATATATACTATGTCAGTTTAAGTTAATGATTCTAACTATGAATACTTACTCCCAGTAGATTTATTAGTTTTCAAAAGGTATGTTTTACGTTAAGCTACTTTTGATTGATTTATCTATAGCCACGAATCTGCTTCATTTTCTTTATTTACTGATTTGTATTCAGAAAGGTGACTGAACTACTGAGGTCAACGTAAGAGGAGAATCAGTGAAGCGAAATTGCAAGTTGTAATATATATTAAATAATCAATTCATCAAATACGAAATGGAATAAAATACCTCATAGGACTTTATTTGAATCGACTTCATAAACGAGGAAAGATAAATTGAGGCTTGATTATAACGTCAAAGATTAATCAGTAAACACTGATTTACGCTTGAAAAGCCAATGAATAAAAGTCCCACACGCATGCTCGTACATCCATGCTAATTATCCCGTACATCAGACAATAAATAAGTTAATGTTTTAACACGTTGGTTGTAACTGAGCTAAATAGAAACTCAACCAATTAATAGCTTGGTTTATATAAATAAACCATGTTGGGCTTTACTGACATAAATCAACATAAGTAGTAAGGCATCTAGGTATTTTATTGAAGTAAACGCGACTACATTCTCACCAAATACTGGTAATCTAATGATATTAACAGAGATATAAAGAAGGCATGAAAAACAATGGAAGTTATTTTTGTGGACATTATTTCACTTAATTTAAAGTTTGCAATATACTGACATTTAATTTTGTCCCTAGATTATTCCATAAACCATAAGCTTTGTTCGATGCATAATTCACCGTCATACCATTTCATATTCCGGAGCTATTGTAATTTAAACGTAAACTACGGTACTTTATATTCCTACTCTAATGCCCAGTTTGCACATAAATGTACTTTCATAATTGTTTGTTTGTTGTAATCGTGTTATTTATCTATATATTTATGCATTTTTATACTCATCTGAACCGAGATTCAGGAATAAATAGAGAAGCGCTTCAGTTGAATCGTCTTCTCTCTCGCTCTGTCGCTTGTCAATCAATCAGGTGATAGAATAGTTTTCGTCTCTGCCTAAGGCCATTGGTTTTAATTTGAACTCAGGCATTATTAGCCTCATAGGTGAACCAGTTAGTTTATCGTGTCAAGGCCTTGACTTAGATCGAGACAAGTTCTCTTCAGTATATTATTAGTTAGATAAACCGAGGATGTAACAACTAACCATCACTCCCCAGTTTAATTAGTAATCCTAATTACAAACTACATACTTTAGTCTGATTATTATAAATTAATGTTTATTTCTGATGTGCTTATTTTGTAATACCACCCATCCTACTGCTACTTCAGGCAGTCTAGTCAAGATTATCCACTATACTCTCATTTCAAAAATATAATTTTACATTTCGTTTCCTTTTGATAGGTAGTGATATTTTATCACTATGGTAGTTAGATAAATTTGTATATCCTAAGCGAATTTTAGATTCAATAATTTTATTCCTATGTACGTTGATCTTCCGAAAATTGGAGATATGATGAAATCACATTATATCGCTGATAAGGCTAAGGATAATGTTTCGCATAGATGAATAAATTATGTCAACTTACATGATTAATAAGCACATGTTCACCGACTATATTTTTAGGTAGATTACGTAAAGATTCCATTAATTTATCCATTGAATTCAATCTTCTTCTTGAATTCGAATCTCCCAGTAAAAGTTGAAATATAGAAAGTGCTATACGAAATAAAACCTTCACACCTAGAATGAGAGTAAACAAAAAAAACTGTGTTCAACTCCATACCATTTGATAATACAAGATTTGAATTTTTAATGCTACTTAACTGTTGATCATTATTTGTCCTGTTACATTTTACGTTTTAAAATATCCGATATTTATCGATAACCGCTTTATCCAAAAGAATCATGGCGAACGGTTATTTGGAATAGTTGGACAATCTAGATGGCAGATATTGTCATGCTTGTATTAACTGTCTGTCGTTGTTTTCACGTAAATGTTATACTCTAAACCAAGAGCAGTCATGTAACACAATTTTTTATTGCTCATAAGTTAGAAAGATGTAAACGTATTTTTTCTTGACAGTTTTGTGATATTAAAATGTGCAACTACATATATGGATCAAATTCATATTTGTGATTGGTATGGATAAAACCCTAAGCATATTAAATTTTTAGTTGAAACAAACTAGGAAAGAATAACGTATAAAGTACAACCATTATATTACACTTATTTGTCAAGCTTGCAATATCGGATCTCAAAATCACTGTTTTGAATAGCTATTCTGATAAATGTAAGTATCCGAGACCACTTTTCAGAACATTACGTCGAAACCACATCCACCTAAATTATTGTTCTTTGAAACGTCTTACACTGAATTATATGAATGAAATTAAGTCAGGAATACCATAAATGCAACGAAATATTTCATTACGAACACATAAATTATATGATTCATCGGAAGATAAACTTCGTATATTCAAAGATGACAGTAATACAGTTGTTAGGAATATCACAGAAGACTTGAACGTGAGGCTAATGAAAGCTTAAGAGAGATGGAGATCCATATTTCTTTTCCGGAAACACAAGAGAAATATGAATTCAGTTATTCTAGAATAACATTACCGACTATTCAGCTATAGGCAATATCACTTAGTCTTAAACTTTGTATTACATCAACTAATGTTAATGAAACGAATGCCAAAATCCAATTTGAAAGTTTCATTCGTAAGATAAATGACCTTACCCTTGTATCTAATATGGATTATGAACAATTCAAAACAACTCTTGTAGACTGCTATAACCGAGTACTATTTAAGTACTTTCCAAGATTAATATACATCCCTCCTATAACTGAGTGATATGTGTGATGTAAATAACATGATCATAATCTACATTCGATCGACAGAATAATCAATGAAATCACGTGAATGACAAATCTTACCTTATCTAACGTGGACAGAAGGTTAGTCAACACAAGGTTGATTACTTTTGCTCAGACAATTAACAGATAATTTAAGTAACTTGTGTCAGTGAATGGAAATAAACAGATTCAACTGGAGAAAACTTTATTTCGACAAAATCATTTACCTAAGTTTTTACATTAGTATTTATAATTGTTTGGTAAATATGTGAGTCTATAAAAAGCTAGAAGTGATAGTATCATAAAGTGGACTGAGATTTTAAATATCAAAAGAGGTTTGGGTTGTGATCAAGAGTTGAAAGAAGAACAGGTTGATAAGAATAGTTTATTGTTCAGAAATATGAGGGAAAACTATCCACTTAACAGATATGAAGAACATTTTAATCACCGAAAGATTTTTATCATATCACAAATATTTTTTTCAATAAATTCTCTCCTGGTTTTAAATTATTTATCCGAATTAATGATCGAAAAAGTGACCAGGTTCAGGGCAAATACATCATTTAAATCACAGCATTTGAATCCAGGATTGTTTGTAAGATAAAATGGAATTGTTAATGTTTAAATGACTAATATGCAAATCAATATTGGATATATTTGTGTTTCACTACGATGAGAATCTTCCAGCGGTTAAAATGTTCCTCATATCTGTTATTTGGATAATCATCTCTCATATTTCTACCAAAGGTTATTAGAATTACAACTAGGTGAAAAAATAAGTGATGATTATTTTTATGATCAGAATAGGGTTCGTGGAGATTGTTGTGATTTTAATAGTTGAATTCATGAGTCGGTGTAAGCTAGACCACCATTGAAAACCTGAATACACTGGACTAGCATTTCGTCTCATTTCAAGTCCTGCATGCGGGATCGTGGATGCACATTGCTGAGGAGACCCAGACTAGGAAGAAACGGTCATCCAATGTTCCCAGTTTATTTTTATATCTACTGGCAATTAACCTAACCTTTTGTGTTGATTCTACGCTTTAAATAAAATATTCATTCAAAGCAGTTGCCATAAAACGTTTATTAAACCTTACCGGCATTAAATATGTAGTGAACAGAACACAGAAGGGGGATAACAGAACGTATTAAACACAAAATTACAGAGCATCTCAATAAAATCTGAGAACCATATATCAAATCGTAAATTTGCAAAATGTCCACCGCTTGTCGCAAAATGCCTCTGACTTCATTGTCCTTGCCTTTCCATACAAACCGCATTCTATTCCCGCTCTTGCTTTCTTGATCTTCCCTCATCTTCTGCTGCTAGACATTACATTCCTGACTCGCATAATATACTACTTATATCAATATAAGTAGCACGCACCACAAATGGACTAATTTTATAATTCTGTCCTCTAAACAATTTCTTCTATCGTTGAGAAATTGTAACCATATATATATATATACTTAGATAGATATATTCTTGAACTAAGCAGTCAAAAAACATTCCGTCTGTATTGATCAAGTTTTCGTTAGTTATTTGGTCTTTACCTTGAGTGCGTGGTAACTTAGTGATGTCATTGTTAATTCTGTAATTCTAAATTGTTGATAATAGAAAAGGAGATCGCATTCTTAATTGAAGTATTCGACAGTCAAAAGTCAAAGCTTAACTGTGGCAAAATCATTATATTACAAAGTTGACTGCCCAATGGGGTGTGCTCATTAGATTATTCTAGAAGAGTTGTAAAGGGATTTTACCGTAATTTTTATGTAAAGCTACTTAGAATGAGGAAGGTAATTTGTCCATCTGGGATGATTACTGGATATTCACTACTTCATCTCTAAACATTTAACATCACACATATTGCTTGGCGGTAAGCAATTAAGCTTTTTAAATCACTGCACATCAAAATAGCCATTATAGACTAACTTTCTGATTTCCTATACATTCATCCTTTGGTAGTATTGGTATATCTGATAGTCGTCAGTATAATACTGTACCTTACGCTGAGCCCAAGTTATGGTTAAGACAATTACAATCACAATACACTGACGTAACAAATGAGAGATATTCACAGACCATCGTAATTAATAAGTTAATCAAATAATATTTTAAATAGAAATCAGAGATCTTCAATATAAAGTTACATTTAATAAGATGTCAAGTGGTTGGTCCTTTCTTCAACGTAATGACTTGGCAGATACGTTAAATGTAAGGAAACAGTCTATACATACCTTCGAAGAAGAACATATCCCATATACGGAGGACTGTAGACCATGGCAAATTGCGTGTATACAAACACATGAACCAGTCAATAGCAAAATATATTGGCTCTGTGTTACATTTCACCTATGTTCAAGAAATAAATAAAACCATTGAGAAAATTCACATATAATATCTTTTAAAATAACAATAAGTTCATTCAATAACGGTACGATTTTTCTGAATGTCCTTTTTTTATCCTATTCAAGTCTATTATAATGAAATAGTCGTGCTTCGTTTTCTTATGCTTGATAGGGTTGTAGTTGCTTAGCTTCGTTAATCAATCACCTCGATAATCGTTATTATATAACTCCCAACGGTGTTTGAAATCAGAAGGCAATAAGAAGCAGAGACTTCAGTTTATTAGCGGACAGCACAGATAACAAAGTTACAGTCATGTCGAGTGAATTTGGAGCAGATAGGCTAATGTGTGTAAGCGAGCGAATACAGGGGCGAATTTATAGTCAAATCGAATGAGGTGCAGCTAAGCAAGGTAAAGACTAGGTGAGGCAAGGCAATTAATAGGATTTGAGCACATCTGCACATAAGAAAGAGAATGATTCGTCGATCGACATTTAAGCGACTAACATTTAAGCTAGAAAGAGATATGTGAATAGGCTGTCGCATGTGATCAAGTGTACACGTTTATACAGACAAGATAGTGATCACAATAGTACAAAGAAATAGACGAATTGTTACTGTCCAAATAACATTGTCTGTTAAATAAAATAATAAAAACGGCTTAACAAAATTAACCATAGTCGAAATTGATTGTAGGACAGTTGCTATAGCGTTAATTCGAATCAAATTTATTTTAATTTTACCAGAAATTTGAATTATTTTAAATATGTATGAAAATTGGTGTAACATCCATCTAACATTTCACCATTTAGAAGTTTAAGTGAACAGATATTTATTTACACCAATAATTAATACATTTGGCATTTAAAACAAACAACTCAGTGTTATTGTGTTAATGATTTACTCATTTATTTTTCCGATAAATTTCTAATTTCAATAGTTGACATCATGAGTCAGTCGAAGCTAGACCACAATGGAAAACCTGGAAGCACTGGACGGCCATTTCGTCCTACTGTGGGACTCCTCAGCAGTGAGCATCCACAAACTCGCCTGGCGGGATACGAACCCAGGACCTATCAGTCTCGTGCGCGAGCGCTTAACCACTAGACCACTGAGTTGGCACCGAACGGTGTTAATGTCTAACTTCAACTAATCCAGGTTTTCCATGGTGGTCTAGCTTCAATTGACTCATGATCTCAACTAATGAAATTACTACAATAATTAGAATGTTCAATTTTTTACTAAATAGTTAATTAATAAAAATAGTTATCAATGATTAATCAAACAAAATGTGATTTAAAACAGGAAGAAGAGGTCTATTGTATATCACTCCACTTTATTGAATTATTATTAGGAAAATCTAAACTGTATTAAAACTCAAGATAATCATAGTGGTTATATAAGATTTTTCTAACTATAAAATATCAGCAAAATGTGAAAGATCCTAATGGATTCAGATGTATGAAAGTTATATCGTAAATTAAATGACACACAATCATTGAGTCTGAATGCTTTATTTTGATCAATTGGATTTTTAATGTTCACAAATGGAACAGTCATACATCTCTCTATTGAGCCTAATGGGTCTTTACTTAAGAGTGATGGTTAGTGCTCAGATGTACGATGAAAAAACTAGTGCAACAGTGCATAAAACGCAATTACTGTATGGAGATATAAAGTCAAGCTAAGGAAATTTGTCTTGATGAGACTATAGTTTATGGACGACCTTTGAGCGACGCTAAAATGACCTTGAGAGTGTCCATCTAATAACTATGACCAAATGAGTGTTATAAACCTGTGTGAGGAATTAAAACTCTGATTTGCAGTTGATGATTAAAGTAAGAAATTAGATTTAGAATTTTCATCACGAACTGACATCAGCTATAATGCCAAAACTAAATTTATCCGAATGAGTGAATTTCGTGCCAAAATCCGAGACCTGTTAATTTATACCTGATTGGTTCGTCCATAAATTATAGTCTCTCCTTTGTCTTTATTCATACCAAAAAAAAGTGGAAATCATTGTGTGAAATAATTTTTTTTCCTTACGTACTGTTTCATTACGCAGCTGCTGATGCTACCTCCAAATTTATGTTCCTTCGAAAAGATTGTCATTTGACGTCTTAAAATCATTTACATAATCGATTACAAATTTTGTTCGATATAAATTCTTGAAAATGAATATACGTACTGTGTTTCACTCGTCTTCAGTATTAATTTCAGAAAACAGATCTAACTCTATGGGCTAACTGTACAGAACTATCTATGTAAACAACTTAGATTTTTTTTAAATAATTGAATGTAAGATTGAAGACATTTTAATGTGATCAAAAATATGGTGAAAGTATAACATTCCAGAGGTCTACTAAAAGTGTCGGAACATTCCTAGTAACTATAGAAATCTGTGTGTAATAGAAAGATATCCCAATGATTTCTTTTCGGGTTCAATAAGTTTGTTTGTATATGAAGGAGGAAGTTTTTATAAATAATTTGGTTTGGTCACCTCTAGCTTTCTTCCAGCCTACTCTTACAATAGAAAACGTTGCTCGTCAAAGAAGGCGGTGGTTGAGCATACCTAACACAAGCCACAACCACCTCAGTTGATGAAGATTTACTTTCTTATCAATCGATTTCCCATCTTAACCTAGTGCTCTATTCCTAACCCAGCCATCGCTTACTTGCTGGTCCCGTTACACAAGCAATGCTTCGAAGACACTTATCACCGAATACTAGTAACCTGTGAATATCTCCTATTCTTAGTGGGGATGTTCCGCGCAGTAAACTTGCCCTTTGGTGAGGGACGGATATCTTACCTACACCACAAGCGACGGAATTCGGCAAAAGCCAACCGAGTCTACTAAATTTGTGCCGAGACTTCATCAGAAACCAAACCGTCAGTACTGATGAGATCCCCAAGACAAATGAAGTGGTCGATGCGTTTGACTATTCCGCCCATTCATTCAGGTGATGATGAAAGCCGATCCTGAAGTAACATTTTGGGTTTGGAGAGAGGGAACCACTTCGCAAACATGCTTTCATTTTGCTTAAGGTGGTCGGAATATTCTGTATTTTATCAGCATCTCCAACAAAGGGAACCATATCATCTGCGTATTCCAAGTCAACAAGTGAATCTTTTGGTAGAAGATCCATCCGTGAAATGCCAAACAATGGAAGTGTTGTCTCTAAGAGCATGTCTGCGAAAAAGTTGGATAAAAATGGAAAAAGCAGGCATCCCTGGCGAACGCCACTTAAAGTAACCACTTCCAGTGATAGTTCACCATATACGCCGACTCAACCAGTTATGTTCTAATAGAAAGTCTGCACAAGGCTAATGTACTTCTTTGATATTCCTTTCACTGACAGACACCGACGCAACATCTCGAGATCAACGGAAATGAACACCGCCTTATGGTCAGGAAATACAACTATAGTCGAATGTTGAGAAGTATGTTTATGTTCCACAGTCTGCAAAAAGGTGAATATTTGGTCTGTACATCCACGTTTAGGTTTGAAACCAGCCTGATTTTGACGGATCCCAGGTTGATTTATAGTCTTATTGAAAATGAACTTTCCAATAAATGATGATTGTCAGTGATAGATTGTTTTAGGCATAAATATCCTGCCAGTCAAATGGTTTAGGAAAACAATCTTCCAGAGGTGAGGCTTTTGTTTCAACTGTTTCGGAAAAATAAACTTGTAACTCACTGCCTAATGTAAGCCTATCAACAAAATGTACCTTTGTTTGATATTAATATGAAACAATAATTACCATGTACATTATTGCAAACTTTGAACTAACTTTAACATGATACCTTGACGATTGTTTACAGTCTTCTCCCATTTTCAAAATTTAATTCATTTGCAGCTAATATAGTAGGTTTTGGACAGGTCTGGGAATTTCCGTATCATCAACATTAATATTAGTACCTATTGTGCTTCACTATTCAAAAGAAGTTATGTGCAAGTAAGAACAGTAAAAGTCCTCAAGTGTTATAACCAAGTAGGTTAAAGATAGCTAATATATACCTATTCTTGCAAATTTAACAAAGTGATGTTATTGAATTTATTTTATGTAATAGGTCATAAAATACGCTATTTATCACCACATTTCAAACACTTTCTTACCAAAGTCAAGAAAATGAATTTCACTGATACACTGAAAAACATACCATGTGATGGTATATATCTGGTTGATATTTCTTCACCAGTTCAAATAACATGTTCAATTCAATTTGACACGTACCTTAAATTAAATCAGAAGTTAACAGTTATCACTATAGCTAAAGTGAAAACAATCAAGCATTGGAAATAAAAGTAATGATAGAAAACAACGGAAGCTCAAATTGTTTCTGTTTCCCGTTAAGAATTTAAGCGTAATATTTCTGAATTGAAACTGATCCCGATAGTTGAGGAATAATTACCACTGACAGATAAAAAACGGATAGCTACGCTATGAGTCAACAGTGGTATGAAGTTATCAACAAGGATTTGTCCTGAAAGCTGAAAGGTTTTTGTTTGGTCCTTAAATAATGAAGTTTTTACAGTTATACATTTCGAGGGCAAATAGAACCATCTGTTAGAAGGGTTGCTCAGTCGACATTAACTTTCCAAAACCATTTTCAAACTGGTTGTAGATTGGTAAAATTACCAGACGATAATTGTTGGATTTTTGAAATAAACACTAATTAGACATGTTGGGCATGAGATGAAGTCTAATTTAAGTAGTAAAAATGGTAAGTTACTTAAACACAAAAAGTAGTGAACTATACCACATAGTAAAATCTTAAAAAAGTAAAACTGTTTATCTAGAGCAAAGTAAATATTTATTTCTAAAAATGAAATTGACAACAAAACGTGAGAATGGTTTGACATCAAAATATTGTCTCATTTTTATGCATTATGTGCTTCAAAGAATAAACAGGAATATAAATATTGTAATTTTACATTTACTGCAACTCATGTTCTATAATCTACATCTCATAATCATGTCACATTCCACTACGTCTTTCCTTTTTTACATGAACGTGAATAATCAATGTACAAAAAAGGATCGGAAAATGACTGTCTATTTGGTTTTAAGAATGCTCAATAAAAAGTCTATATATGAAAGGGAATAAAGCATTCCCAGTGCAATTACCGGACAGTAGATTATAATACTTAATTTTACATGTATTTAACTTACCATTTTATTATAATCACCTAACCTCCTTTTTAATGCATTTAGATTATCTTCATACTTTACCGAATGAAAAAAAGCCATGAAATAAAATAAACTATTGATATATTAATGTGTGGTTTAAAACAGATCTACCAGTGGGATTAAAAGCAAGAAATTCCTTAGTATGTTCCATGTTTGATGTATGTGAAAACAGTGAGGCAAAAGAATTGTATTCATTTCCAATGATTGTTGGTATTTATCTGGAATCCCTAATAAAATACTATCACATATGAAAATAGAAAAATTTTTCATTTAATAGTGAAACAACAGGTATTACCAATTTATTTAATTAGGTCGCTTGGTCTTGTTAAGTGAATAAATGACCAATCTCTAACAGAAATATAGTCATATTAGGCAAGATAATTGACTTACAAGATCTGATTTAAAATAATCGGTCATATATTGGTTGCATAAACAGACAAAGGTCCAAAATGCATCCTCTTCTGGCATATGTATAAGTAACGCTGCAGCAATCGGTGCTTGAGCTTGGCAATAGCCAGTAGCAGGATGTAGCAGTGAATATGCTTTGAGTATGTTGAACAGAGATGCTTTTCTAATAAGTGAATAAAAATTGAGAGAAATAACGGTGTTGAAGATTTTTCAAAACGGTGAACGGTTAAGCCAAAATATCGAAATAGATAGTTTATACTCAATCTTAAATTCTTCATTATTCTATGTACGTTTACTTTTTTCACTCATGTTAATATTTACACTGTTTTGCCGACTATTTTTCACCCGTTTCGAAACATGGTGATTTCAATTGGTATAATTTTGCACGGTGTTACTTATTATTGCCCAAGTCTAATAAATTCTCAGAGCGAAACCAGGTTATATTAGTTCCATTTCGTAGTCTGTAATTTGTTCCAGGTTTGATAAACTTGTAGGCTTCAACAAGTAGCTGGTTTTTAAAACTATTCCTTTGTACCGCAGAGAAACTTAATAATGAGTATATCGTATGTCAAGACAGAACTTGTGTCTTTGACTGATGTATTTTCTCACATGTAATCCATAAACTGCACTGTCTAGTGAATACAAGAGCTGAGGTCGTCATAAAGTTTCTTTATAAATTGTGGCATATATCAACTGCATTCCCTTGAAGATGTCCCTCACTTGTGGCGAAACGCTTGCCCCATCCCCATTTTTAATCTTCAAAGCTTAATAAGAAGCTATTCAAATTCTGGATTTTCAGCTATCTTTAAATTTTAAATTTTCGTAAAGTCGGGTGCAGGGGCGATTTTCATAAATACAGTTTATCAACAATTATTCGGCAGTCACGAAACACATACAACAGCATCCATCTTATCTTTTCATCACTACAGAAAACTGATGAATATTCTTGCGTTGCATCATTTTCGTAGTATTCAGAGCCCTAAGTAAAACTCTTGAGCTCCCCAAGAAAGAGCTGATTTTTTATTTTTCCTTATACACCCTTCAAAATTTCATCAGTCATGTCAAGGTTTTCCTTAGGTTACACCGAAACGTTTCGTAGCTTAACATACGTAGCACTAGCAGCTCAGGAAAATATAGACTTTCTTATTAATTGCCTTACTGGTTAGACTTAAAATTCCACCAGCGCTATTATCAGAGGAAAATTCAAGTTATAATACTGGAAAAAAGTAATTTTCTTTTCTGCTTTTTGCTCAATCAAACTATTTCTACGGTTATACTTTGAGGAGCGTCAGGCATAGTATGATCTATTGAGTTGGCAATTCAGTTCGACATTAAATACGAGATAATTTTTAATAATATGCTTTGATTTACGTGGGTGAGATGTGTTTATTCAAGGAGGGCTAGTGTGTTGACTACTGGTAATTAATGACAAACTTGACTTACCCATTACCATGGCTTGTAGCAAAAAGTACGTGATTAGGCAACTGTCTGTCGACATCTAATTTGATTTGTGAAATTGTCTTTGGATCACCCGACATTCTCAAAAGTACCTGTGTACGGTTTAAATATGAAAATTAGTAGTCGAGAAAAATAGGTCACAGAAAGACTGTTTTTGTCACACATGTACCAAGGTATCCATATTAAATTAGCTACTTTTTGCAATTGAAAGAGCTCTTATTTTGGAAAAAATTCAGCATGTCTGACAAAGTTCAACCACGTTAGGAGTGAGATGAATATCACCGAATGAACTAAACTGTACTCAATCGAGAATCGGCTGACGTTGAGAGTATAAACTAATGAATGCTAAGTTGGTGAATCCAAAGTCCCGTAGTATTTGTTGGACCCGAATATCCATGACATGATTTCTGATTAATTGGTTTAGAAGTCTCAAGCCACGATGAAATATCTATTGCGTGTTCTTGAATTTCCAATGGCTCTTGATCTATAGTAAGTCTGCAATCAAAAATGTTTTCAAAATGTAAAGTCTCTACAGGTTTCCTACTTTAAAAACTATTGTTTGTCAAGATTTTCTCTTAAACTGGTTACATTATGTTAAAATAAGTTGGGAGGATTGAAGTATGCCTATTTTGTTTCCTCATTAGTGATGTTAATAAAACTGAAAAGAGATGGAAAAAACAAACAGCATTTAACGGTGACAGAAAATAGTTTAGCAATAACAGCGGGAGTTTTGCTCCGACTGCGCTTAAAATTTGGGTTCTGTTCCATTTTTGTTGACGTTGTGGATACATCGATCAAGTCCTCATGCTTCAATAAGTGCTTGGACACCACCACATCTGCCGGTGAAGATCGCTGGGCTAATCAACGGCTAGGTCATCTTGGGCCCGTTAGATAGCACTACTCTGCGGTCCTATGTTAAAGAAACGTTTGCCTACACTCTATATAAAAATATCATGATCAGGATGGGGAAAATGTTAAAGTATGCTTTCTGATTTATTTACAAAGCGTAAGGTACTACTCCTAGATTCACTAGCGCTCTGTAGGAAGCCGCTGAAAATGGTTAAAATATGTTTATGCCTGAGTAGATTTCCAATCACCCAAGTTGAAGTAAAGGACTTAATAAATTTATAAACAGTAAAATCAAGAGCAGATTGTTCTAGTCTCCGACATATATAGCACCATAGGCATGTTATTTTAACTGTAAACGTCAAGATATGCTTAGTGTTCATGAGATTACTTCTGCTCTATAGTTGTGAAAACTGGCCCATTTGGGATGGAAATATCTAGCGACTGTATGTCAGATCACCGCCTTCTTTGAATGATCGCTTACCTTTCAATGACAGTATTCTCACCAAGCTATATTTTAGCCTGAGACTAGGTCGAAAATACAGGTATCCATTTTTAAACATAGTACAGTGATGAAGAAGATATCACAAAGGACTAGTATCTATTATTCCATTAGGATCCGCTGGTTGAGATCCTATATATTGTCTAATTCAGTGGTTTGGGATGTTATCCGATAGTGTTCGTAAGTCAGCGGCAGTCTTGTTGAGGTTTTCAGCAGGAGTTTTCATAAAATCAAAATGAACTGTATCTTTTAAGAAAAACCACTTTTATTCATTCACAGCCTACTACAATGAAATCTCTTTTTTCATGTTATTGTAATTTTTTATTTGATGGCGCATGTTTTTCTCACTACTTGTTGAGAATGTCTATTCGTTATAAATAAAAGATGAAATAAGATAAAACTGGGGAATAATAAACCACATAACACAACTATATGAAACTGACGTGGTGGAGAAATACTCGTAAGAGTCAAATATCTTAAGTATTTAAAAACGGAAACGGATTCAGTGAACCAAATGTTCTATCTAATAAAATGAACATAATGATACTGTTATAACTGTGAAAATGATGCCGCGGATTAAGGGTAGGGAATTATTGATCGGACCAAAGACGCACAAACACGTAGAACGACCTAGGGTTCTGATTGGTCCAGCTTCCCTGTCTAGCCCAGCCAGTTGAGTCCAGAACACAAGTCACAGCCTCGGAGATATGAATCATTATATTTCAAACATACTTTGTTTATATACCAGTCAAGCAGACCATAACGTCCCATAAAATAGAAAATAACATTGTACAATAATGGCCGGTAGGAAAATGACACGTTAAATAAGTATTGACCAATAAGATGATAGCATTTCACGTCCAAGGATAGCATTAACCTTAACAGGATAATTTTTTGGGATATTTTCCTGAATGTCCCAACAGATACCGTTAGAAGAAGCGATATGACAAAATTAAAAAGCAAAATCACATTCCTTTACTGGATGTGGTTTTTTGTTCAACATTATCTGTTTTAATTCTACGTAGAAATTACTCATTGTAGTACTTGTTTTGTTTTCTAGTGTGATATTTTATTCGCTACAATATTAATTTATTTGAGTGTGATGTCCACTTAAGATACGATATCCTTGTATTAAATCAAACGAACTATGATCAGCATGACACTCAGCATATGATTTGTTATAATTTTAGGTATTTTCCAAATATATGATTTCATACTAATTGATAATGAAAATGGGTGTGCAATCAATATTTGATGAGTGCATTTTCGACTAGGATCGTCGTGTTTAGTGGTTAACAAATCTGTATTTTTAAGTCTTGCTGTTCTTACTTTGTGTTGTGAGATTTGCAGTGGTTCCTCGTTTTATTGGTATAAATAATAAGCGATTCCGACATAACAATCTGCAACACATTCATAACAATAAGTATTAGGGTTTGGTATGAATAGCTAGTAATAATCTTATGTTATAAGTCCTACTGAGAAAATAATATTGATGGTTTTCTCATGGTTATCAACTTCTTACCATTTATATTTGAAGAGTAGTTGTTCAACAAATTGTATTTTAAAAGAAACAACTAGCATGTTTCATATTGTGGTGCGTGCTACTTATATTGATGTAAGTAGTATATTATGCAAGTCAGGAATGTAATGTCTAGCAGCAGGAGATGATGAAAGATCAAGAAAGCAAGAGCGGGGATAGAATGCAATTTGTATGAAAATGTAAGAACAATGAAGTCTGAGGCATTTTGAGACAAGTGGTGGACATTTTGCAAATTAACGATTTGATATATAATTCTCAGATTTTATTGAGATGCTCTGTAATTGTGTGTCGGATACATTCGGTTGTCCCCACCGGTGTTCTGTTCACTACATTATAACTATCAATAAATTAGCAGAGCAATTATGAGTCTGTATTTATGCGAAATTTTAAATAAGTAGTGGTATAGAATTCTAATTCCTTTAGAGGTGGTTACTTAGAAGCTATCTTAAAGGGTTGAAATTTATATCTATGTTTCACGTTTTAAACAATTTATCTTTATAGCAGCAGATCAACAAGTAAACACATTATTAAATAGATATGATCCACAGAGAGATAATGAATGCAAGGACCGGCATAGCTTATGATTTTTACCAGTGATATTCAAGATAGATTTCAATTTATGGAAGTCAAAACTGCAACAGGAGACGACTAAGTCTTTCCTTTTGCAAACTTAATTACTAAAACATTGAAGACTTTATCTACATCATGAATCTATAATCTAATTATCTAGATAAGCTCATAGGGCAAATAAACTCAAAACACTTCAGTCTCTGATAATCATATCATGATCATTATTATGTTTGTCTACCCCGGTACATCTTTATTGTCAGGGGCGCTGAATATTAAAAACGTAAATGTGAACCGCGAGTTATCTTATTGGGTATTCTTACCATTAACAATACCTAGGCAAACCAAAAATTTACTTCATAAGTCTTTTACATTATATTCAAGTGAATTTTTTTCTGGAAATTGAAAGTCTGCATATTTGGTGTATATGTTTAAACCTTACCTGATATTTCCCACGTTCGATCTGCATTATTCTATGGCTTCCACAGAGATACTCCCACACTCTTGAACGTATAGCCGGTGCAATACCTTTTCGACATTGATTTCTCACCCGATCTGTTTTATAATACATCCATTTATCCCATTCAGTTAGCATATTTTGCCATTTCAATTCTTTTCGGCGTATTTTATTCAAAGAGGATTCAGAAAGTTTCCTGTGTATTTTGGTTTAACCTGATGATCCACCTTACCGCGTGTTTGTTTCGCAGAATTGTTCACCTTTGAAGAATCCATAACGATCAACAGCACCGTTTACCATCAGGATGTTGCCTGGTTCATCGAAAACTTCTATATATTTAATGGAAAGTTATGCTTGATATAAAAAACTAACCGGAAGCCATGTCATTTCAAACTGTTGTGACTAGGCAGTCTAAAAGTACATTATCACAAAAAATTGCACAACAACACAGAAATTCGATTTCTATGCCTTTTGATTTGTATCGACTGCAAAGAATTCAGGAATTTTTAGTATAAAAAGTCGTTAGTTAATAAAAGATATCTTGAAGATTGTATCAAAAATTACCTGAAGACAGAGGTGAGTATAACAAGTAGTCTTAATTGCTTAATGGCAAATAAAACCCATCTAAAAACAGACAAATATGTATAGAGATATATATATAAAACCTGAAACTCACTTTTTGGTGGCGTTTGGTTCTCTGAGCTGTATGCTTTGGTCGTGGAGTTTCTATCATTCTTCTGAACGACAACATCAGCACAAAATTCAGGTAAAAGTGGTGTTTGAGTTTATCCACATATGACTCACAGCTTGTCCTGTAGACCTTGATTATTGTTGACCTTTAACTTGTCATTGTTTAGTTTTTTATTTTGATTGTATCACCCGTCGATTTGACTCTTGGTCCTGTATTTGCCTATAATTTTTTGATTGGTTGATAAATTGGACTGAAGACTTCACTTCTACTTGAAGTTCGTGCTGATGATATCGTTCAGAAGATTGATGAAGGCTCCACAACCAAACCATCCAGTTCAGGTAACAAAACCCTACCAAAACCATCCACCTAAGCTACAAATCTTCTATACCACCTCTATAACTTGCTTTACTTGTTTAGGAATATAAACCTTTGTCCAAACATCGAAGTAAGTATAGAAAGTCTCATTTATTCCGGCTATTAGTCATTACAGTGTTGGTAATGATGACAAAGTGTCATGCAGTCAATGGTTAAGCCATAATAAAATTCAGTTGGAGTGCATGTCTGAGAAGTGGTTACAGTAATAGGCAGTCAGTCATACGCAACGTACAACTTGACAAACGTGTATATAATTTGAAGCTGCTACTATCAATACAATCATCCACCCTCAAAGATTTTTATGGCTTTGCTGTATAAGCGCTCATGACTTTGTACTTATGTTCAAATAAAGAGATGCAATAATAGAAAGTTATATATCCAATAAAAATATATCATTATAATTTATCGATATAGGGACAAAAACGATAGCGTTCGATATTAAGTATCATATCAGTGAAGATCTATACTTTCGGGACTTAGGTTCTCACCATAATTCCATTCACTTTCTACGGATGGGAACAATTGGCTGAGGTGAGGTTTACACTCTAATAATAAATATCAGCTGTTGGCACTAATTTAACACACGATTTAAACTAAATTAATGTGTTTGCAATTGCATGTTAGAAATTTCCTTCGTTCATCTTGGTCACCAAGTAAACAGGTAATATTTTAAGAAATCATAAGGCTTTCAGTCAGTTTATTTACGTTGACTTCACTTTTGGTTTTAGTTTCACTTTGATTTAAACAAATCAAAGGACTGACGTGAATCTCTTCAGAGGTTTCAATCAGCATATTGACTATAACCATTCCATTTAAGAGTTTTGTAGACACTTTGTTGTAATGCTAAGAGGGTATTGGTTGAAGCGTTTGATCTTGCTTCAGAAACAAGCTGGTTCACTGTAGTATTCACCATTAAAATTCACTTTTAAAATGAAACAAAATGTTGTTAAGTTTGAAGAGATGTGTGAAAATGTTTCACATAAGGCGATTAAAATTAATTGTCAAATTATATTTCAAATAATGCAGTAAAAGGAGAGAATAATCAACTATTATTTAACAGGCGATCTGACAAAGGGCTTGAAATTTATAACCATGAAACATGATGAATCTCTTTTCATGGGTCTAGTGAACAACTGATATTACCTATATATCTTCCCTCATATCTCAGAGCTAGTCAAAGTCACTGTATATTGTGAACAACAGAAATTAAATAACCGCACTCATTAAGCGTTTTACTATTTCTTTAAGTTTTATCGCGATTTTCGGTTACAGACTGATGAGATGTCGATGTACGTTTGGTAGGTTTGCTTAAATTTATAAGTAAAATTCATTTGATTACTTTTTAAAATACAGTAATTGTAACAGGATCATTCCTTACAAATATGTGATGAAAACAAGGGGAACCTCGTAATAATTAAACTTATTCTTTTACTTCATTTTATCAGTTGGCTTTCAAATATATTTGCTTTGGAATTTAGGCAGCAGATTAACTAAAAGTATTCATTATCAGAAGGTTTTATTACACATGTAATAACATCCAAGCTTTTATAAAGTAATCTAAGTTGAAAGTTGGGCCGAAAGTTCCAGAACTCCAGGTAGAGGAAGGCTGACTTTCGCCTCACCTTTGCTGACTTTAATGATTCACATCAACCGACTAGAGCTCATAGCTCCCGGTATATATTTTGACGGCAGCCTACTGTTGACTTAGAACGTGAACAATCATTGTCAGACCTTGTTCATACTAGTCGCTGCGATATCACAGACATTCAGTTTCCACTCACTCTGCCAAACAGAGGTCACATTGTATTGTTCTTTGGGCTTTAAACACAATATACGATATGCATCTACTACACTCCGTCTCATCTGATGAGCAGAAATTCCTTTAATTCGAAACTGTGGTATCTCAACAGATTGCATATTAAGAGAATAAAACAAATGACAGAATCCCTCCATTACACCAGCTAAACTAGATAATGCTGAGGCTGAGAGTTTACCAAACTATTCTAATCAGGTGTACTCATATGATGTTGTTATTAACACTTTTCACGGCCAAGCTGTTGAGATTCCGACTATAGGACCAGTACATGTGACTACAAAATTTTCTTTTCGTTTACGTGTTAGCACTAAACTTGGTAAGTCACTGGGCCGTAGTGAGTTACATACAAGATTGTTGTCATCCGTCGCGGATACTATTTCAGAACCACTCACAGTTGCAGTTCAACATATCTTTTTCCAAAAGTCGATTCTCTAGAGATTAGGCAAATGCTATAGCTAACCCCATATTCAGGCATGAAACAAGATAGATCATGTTTATCTACCGACCTATCGGTCTAACTGACATAGTAGTTGAGGTATTTAAGAAAATAACTCGGACTAAGCCACTAAGTCGCGCAAAACCATATAATTTATTGGCTACTTGGTAGCACGATCTTTGGAACAGGTACTCGTCCTTAAATAACCTACTAGCTGCGAGGTAGGGTGATTTTTTTGTCTGCCTGATATTTATAGATTAGCAAGATATTTAATAGATCGCCTTAATTAGGGATTATACAAAACTCTCCAGATTTCGAATAAAATATATCACACAAGAGTGGATGAGAAACTTTCCCTGTGGGTAGAGATAAAAAGTGGTGATAAATGAAGCAATGTCTGAATGGAAGTTGGTTAGATATCCCATGTCCTAAGGCACTCTCTAAGACCCTGTATCTTTTGTTCTGTTTTAATTATTTATCAGATAGCAAAAGGTGCTGACGCTGATCAACCTAATTATTCGGTTGTCCGAGATTCGACTCCAAATAACCGAATGATAATGATGTCGATAAAGCGTATATAACCCGTTTACTTAGTAGATATTCTGTTGACGTATCCCGTCAATAACAACGTAGATATGTGAAGTCAGATATGAAAGCATTAAAGCGACATATATTACAGACATTTAACAGTGTGGAAGAACGGCAAGAAACGAGAAATGCACGTGAACTGGAGCTTCAGAAGCGACCAATTCAGTGTGTAATAGGTTGCTCGTTCCATGTAAGCCTGAAAGAAATATAAGTACAAGACTCTCGCACTAGCGTACACAAGAACATGAACCATGATCAAGGTTATGTGTGGGTACTTGGCAAAGACAAAATTATAGGTTATAGAGAAAACCGACACATTCTAAGATGCGTCTAACGTAAGGAAATTATACTGCTTCTTGATAGTCGTTCACCTAGATCCACAGGAGAAGTCTTCTCAGTTGAGGTTTGTTTGCGACAACGGACATGTTGATCAACAATGTTGACAACAATGGCGTGAGTGTTTTAGAATTGCGTCATGTTCTCGAAATTAACTGGAGAAAAAATACGTTTATATATAATCGGTAGATTATTCTCCCAATTTCGGGGAAAGCGCACTGAAACCCCAAACTTTCTCCTAAACCTTGGTGACGGTCATTTGACTTGGGGGATTAATTCCCCAAACTTGAGAGATTGGGTTAACAAACACCAATTATGTAGTCCCCAAGATGCACACTAATTGTTCAAACAATCCCTCACATTATTAGGATTTAAACTTTATTGTTCGTGAAGAATAAAAAATAAAATCTATTTGTCCAGCTTATCTTATAATAAAAGCTGCGGTATTATCGTTGTCATTGCCAGTGACCTTCAATAGTTTCAATGTCCAGTTTCTCATATTGTGACAGATAGTAATACGGTATTAAGTACTTCTGAACAAACAAATCTGGTCTTGGTATACAACAATACGTTTAGTATGAAGAGGAATAAGTTACATAGAGTTATCACGCTTGCATGGACGAATCATGTCTGAATGATTAAGTGTGTAGCGTGGCGTCGAGTCGAAATTGACTATGAACACCGCTACCAAGAAACACGTGCCAGATAAATCAGAAGGCGAGGGTTGGACGTAACCAAATAGATCCATAAAATCTCCGAGAAGCCAATATCAGAAGACAGTTAATGGACCAAATCGAGATGTATTCGCTGGCGATCTCGTGGCATCGAAAAGATACCGAGATCGTGCCAGAATACAAGCTTGGTTACAGAACGTAACCGAATTCGCGCAAAGTTACAATCAAAGGTGTAAGTAAAAAGAATGGAAGCACAAAATAGCTGTCATTAGCACAGTCAAACAAAAGCACATTAAAACAAACACTGGTACAGTTGGTTATAAGAATAATTGTTTCTATTAAACCAGTTGTGTTCTCGTGATAAATGTGAGTCACTACAAGTGCTCCAAACTTCATCATTTCTGAAACCCATGGTGTTAATGTCAAATGTTGTGAATCAGATTATCGTATGTGATGTGATGATCGT